CCTTCGCTGTGCTATCAAAAATCGACCCAAGCAAAATTGAGATGGGCCGCCAAACGAAGGCTGTGAAGGAGAAAAGAGCCTCTTCTCGTTCCATTTTGCGGCTTCAACAGACTTTCAAACTCGCGGCCTCGATCTCTCGTTCGTCTCTTCTCGGAGTTTGAGCTCCGACTTGTTGCGCCCAATTGGGGCCAAAGAGGGACGGCACAGATTTTGCGTCACGTAAACACACATACAGCATGAAGTAATGGGATCCCAACAACTTTTCAGGAGAGCCCAGCAATGAAGTTGGGCTTAGAAACCCTGCCTTTCACGCGGGCTTTCGCATCAGATTCACGTAGGCCTGAACATGGCATCGTTTGCAAGGTCCACAGCGCAGTCGAAAAGCTTTGCCTTTTGTATGCCGAGCTACTCACTGTAGCAAACGATGTCGATCTTGAACCCCGACTTTGCAAAGAGTGTGGCGCGCATGCACAAGATCAATGACTTGCCTTCGCCTGTCTGGATTTGTGTAATATGGTTCTCGGAATCTGTATGCACAATGTCTTCAGCGTCTTCCGCGTTTTTGGGCGCGGAACTCGCTTTTTGCACCTTGGAGATCATGGTCGATGGCAATTCCTTTGGCAATCTCGCCCAGACTTTCGTGCCGGATCCAGAGATTCCAGCGGTGTCCAGCTGGAAGAATTCTTCCAGTCCAGCAAACAAGGGCAAATGGAAGAACAGGACACAATCATATATGAATCTGTGACAATCAGAGACTTTGCATTTGCCCAATTCGGAACTTGACCACTTCCGGACAAATAGTAGCTTGTCAAAATGGTGGCCATGGTCAACTCGAAAGATCTGCTCTCTCCATCGGTGAAACCGATGCAAGTTGACCTCTCAAAACTTTCATCAAACCGCTCGTCTGACGCACCAATCCATCCCCAGATTCGTGGCCGACGCAGGGTCTGCTCTTTTTCTCTGAAATTTCACCTGGAAACGAGAACCGAAAGAAACGCAGCGCATTTCATTTCCCACACCAAAGGAACTTGCCACAAGCACACTCTTACAAAAGATCATGCGGTACAACCAGTTTCAGTCTGGCACTCATACCAAGTCACTCCTACTAGCGATGGCCTCCACCCTATTAGCGATGGCCTTCTACCAAGTGAGCCAAGCCACCCAAAAAAGGCATAGATACCAGTCGGGTGCCACACAGGTACATCCTCAACACTGGGTTAGACTCAGCATGCTTGGTCAACACCTCGATCGACTTTGCCTGCTGCGTTCCATGATCATCTAGAAATGAACATGTCACAATCTTCATGGCCGAGTGAAGTCACTCTTATATATTTTTTGATCAATCTGAAATCGAGCTGCCAAAAATTCAATTTTCCCAATTTTTCCATGCCCAGTCAGCGCAACGCTGGCACATTACATCCGGCACGACGGTGTAAGGATAAGCATATCTTGCATTGCCTCAAACGAAACTCAAAAGAAATTTGCCATCAAACCAAACCCATCCAACAGATTTGAAATGCATATCACATCAAGTTTCTCTAAAGAACTAGGAGTCGCATGATTGGTGATTAGTGCGAGCATGAGCTATCCTGCGTCCAGTTACTAGAAAGTTCGTTTTGTAGGCGCCTACTTGATTAAGTAGTAGGGGGCAGAGCGGGTTTAAAAAACAAATTGGGCCCTCAGCAAGCTGTGCCGAGGCGCATTCGGAGCAAGACCAGCTGGACAGCCACCTCTTCAGAGACGGTGAGTTTGCCCTTTGCAATGCTAGGTACGTGTCCTTAGCGCCGGTCATGCGTTCATGCTAGGTGTGATGCCTAGACTTGTCTATGTCTATTGGGTTCTCAATCATTTTGGGAGCGACGATCCAAAAAAGGAATTGGCCCCTAAATTTTGGCCAACTGGATGATGGTCATCGAAAATCGGCAAAAGTGTTGTTTGTGTTGCGCGCCTATTACAATGCCCAATAGAAGATTGTGGCCTGTTTTGACTGAATGAAAAGAGCAGCCATCATGGTAGTGTGCATCCTGTTTGCATTTGGGTTTGCTGATGCCACGGCCCTAAGGGTGGGGTGCGGCTGGGGGCGCACTGTGGTCTAAAAATATGCTTAATATTTGGCAAATTAAATGTCCGAGACCGCGCAAACAATCTGAGCTGAATCTGGCTACAGTTGGTGTCTGGCAAGGTAAAAAAACACGATATTACGATTTTCCCTGTTGAGCGACTTGCGAAAATACGAAAATACGATCTGCCCTGGCCGTCTGGAGTCCAGAAATACGCTGGGCCCACGTGCGCTCACCGCCGGCGTATTTATTTTACGATGGTCCCACGCGTGGACGCCTCCAGCGTATGATTTTTACGATTCTCTCGAGAAATCACATTTAAACAACGAATGATTTTTCAATGAAATCGTGTAAATATACGCGGTCCAGAAATACGAAAATACGATTGGAACCTGCCTGGACTGACGAAAAAATACGATTGCTTCCGAAAATGCGAGTGGAACCTGACCGGATTTTTTTTTACGAAAATACGTTTGCTGTTGTTGTTGTTGCGAGCATTACGCGCAATCATTGCTGCTGCTGTTGAGAACCACCCCTCAATGTGATCCCGCGATTCGAAAGGCTTGTCGGTTGCGATTCGTTTTGTTCTGCGGTGGGCTGGTGTGGGGTTTGTGTGGAGGCCCACTCATTGATGGCGCAATGCTAGGTCCACCACTAGCATATACCAGCCGTCGCGCTTCTCTCAGCAAGGTGCCCAACAAGAGGCCAAAAGCCCCCGAGGTTATATGGCTGGAACATCAACATCTGCGCCCCTTGGTATGTGTGCCACAATGACAACCTTGGTTTATGCTGTTCTTGCCACTAGGCACACGATTGTTTCTTAGAAAACCTTACCAAAAAGACACTTCTTTGCTGCTTTGCGTTCCAAAGCGTATTTCTTTTACAATTATATTTTCTTGCTAGGTGCTCATTTTGGCAGTTGTATTTAAAATACACTTGTATTTTGCAAAGGAGGTTGTGATTCTTCCAATTGCATTTTTTTTTGCAGTTGTATTTTTCTTAGTAGATGTTCATTTTGGCAGTTGTATTTTAAATACACTTGTATTTTTTGAAGGAGGTTCATGATTTGGTCAAGTGTATTATTTAGGATTGTGTATTTTTCAACCGCATTTTCTACAAAGGCAAATATATTTTCTACAAAGGCGTATTTTTCAATCGTATACTTTTACCGTCTGGGGCGTACTTTTAATTCATTTACAAGGCTACAGACTCTACCTGACCTGGGGATTTCAATACTAACAATGGCCTCCAAACATAGAGAAACACAAAGAAACATCTGCATCAGCCAACCGCTGAAACCAACCTCCCGAAGCACGCCCAATCGCGATGGCCAAGCAACTCGACCTTGGCCGACCAGCGTATATCCGAGCTTCTCAAACTCGGAGACAATGTAGGATTCCTCGGCATGTCCTTGCTCCCTCTTCCAACTCGTCTTCTGTGTCTCAAGGAAACTCACGAGGGACACCTTTCGGGCAGCGGCGCTTTTGTGGAGCCATCGTGATCAAAAAAGAATATATATATATATACACATATAAGCAAGTCACTCATTGACTGATGCACTCACAGCCAGCCAGCCCGTCCACTCAACTCTGCGACGCTTCAGCGGCAACCGCCGTGCCTCACATGTATCAGGAGGCCTTTCAGGACACACGGAATACAGCAATGTAGCTCTCCAAATCGTCTTCGTCTGTCACATCGCCTTGGCCAAGAATGTGGCCAGCAATGTCCATGTCACACAAACTGTCTCTCTCTCTCTCTCTTCTCTCTGTCTCTCTGGGACCATAGGTGTGGCTGTAAAGAGATTGAGTGGGTCAATCATGGTCGCAGCTTGCGTTGGCGTGGCAGGTGCGGTGATACTCTCGCAGTGGCCACATAGCGCCAGAGCTTTGGGTTGCACTTCAGGTCGACTAGCTGAACATCCTGGTCTCCAATTTGCTTGATTAGCTTGGCCAAGTTTGCTTTGTTAGCTTTGCTTTGACGATTGAGACGCGTTGTGTTTTCTTGGGCAATGTCAATTTCCAACATGTGGTAGGCTGCCACGACTACACCAGGCATGGGGGCAGCGCTCCAAATCCCGTGACATGTCCTCTTTCCAAAGCCTCGACTGATCATGCCCGAATACTTGCTACTGAGAAATTCTTTCAAGCGCCCATCCTTCTCAACAAAAACTGCAGTGCGCCGACCAATTCAAGCTCTCTTTAGGGCCTCTTCAAGGCCCCCAATGCCACTGCAACGACCGAGCGCTAACACAACCTCCTTCATTGTTTTCCAACCCCGCTTGACCTGACGAGGAATATTCCTTGCCAGCATTTCTATGCATCCACCCATTTCTCATAAAAGCCATCCACACTGCACCTTTCGAAACCACCATATGATCATATGGCTGCAGGTTCCCAGCTCATTCGGCAGCATCTGCTGAGTCAACTTGACAAGCGCTTGCTGCTCTGACCTGTGCATAATGGCCAGCGACTCGTCCAAAAGCGACAGAGCTATCCGAACATGTGGGCAAAGGGTCCAGTGCCTTGATATGAGCTCCTAAACCGAAGACCTCCAGCATTCTTGCTGTTGGGGCTCCAAACAGCTTGATGTCCTCATTCCAGAAATCTCCAATGGTTGGCTTCGTCTTACGCAGTCTCCTTGCCATGGCTTCTCTTGAGGGTATGCCCAGCTTGACCATGAAGCGGTTGGTGCCGGAGGCATTCACCATCACCCAAACAAGCCATTGTTTTGAAACAATCTTAGAACCAATCTTGGGGCCTCGTTCAACCAAACGAACTAAACCTCTGTCAAAGAAAAGTCCCACGAAAGTCGCCGCCCCTCCTCTGGGCAGAACACCTTAGGATCATCAGCCCACCATCTTGTTGGATCGTCCGTCATACTGTACTCTTTATTCGTTCGCAAAGCAGGTCAGCGAGCCTGACCGATTTACTGGAGTCCCTACTAGGCTCGACGCAGCTCCCTGACTGATGCAACTGCATCCTTCCAAGTCCTCCGCGAAGTCTTGGAGACGTTAAGCCCAATCACCAACGGCGCTAGGACTGCTGCGCTGACGCTGTTGCGCCTGGCTGAGGGCCATGCCAGGGATGGCCACCATCCGCCATGCAAAAAGTTGAGGGCGCACGCGATATGCCGCGCGAGATTGCAACGCCCTCCCAGCACACGGCAACGAGATTCAGCCGACGCTACAACCTTTTCCATGGCCGCCGCATCGAAAAAAAGACCCTTCAGCAGGCTTACCCCCCTCGTGTGGGGTCTGCAAGCTCGACCATGTCACTGAACTTTGGCTTTGACCGAATCATTTGGACCGCCTGGGCATCACCGTCGTTAATTTCCCGGAGCTGACTTGTTCCCTTCACCCACCGCTGGGTTTTCCAGGAGCCAACCTCCCTCCATGACAGCGAAGCAGGCTTTGCAGCTGCTGGCTCCTCGCTTGCATCAGCAAGCCTCCTCCCCAGCTCTCCCTGTCTAGGCTTAGCTTGACTCTTTGCTTGATGAACACGATCAGCTGACAAACTAGCCGCCTAGCCACCATCGTCTCAACCGCATCTTTTCCCCAGCGTACAGCCAAGTGACAAGCGTGCTTCTGCTGGGTCATCCGGTACAGAGTTGACAACCTCCATCTTTTCAACGCCCGCCAAAGTCACAACAACAGAAATGAAACACAACAACAGAAATGAAAAACGCATCCATGCGGGCATTCGCTTTGAGGCCAACGTACATAATGAACACTGCTAACACCATGAAGTCCATGTCCACCCAACACTCAGCCCTCACGGCTGCAGAAACCCGATGGGTCCCGTCACTCTCCCTACATTCGTACTCAATGTCCTTCACGGGGGTGAGGGAAGACTCACCTGCGCTTTAGGCCTCTTGGCCGTCGCGATCCTCGTTTTCGTTGAACTTTTGGGCTCACTGTGCTCAGGCGTGACGAAGGGTGTAACCAGATTCTCTAGCCTAATCTTTTCTGCCAAGCATCGGAAGGGACGAGTGCCACCCTCTAGGTTGGCGGCGACACAAACCTTGGTCTTGTGTTGGATTGAATTCACTTTGGAGCCGGTTCTTTGAGGATCTTCGGCGTTGACGGGTTCCCCCTAGGTTCATCGTCGCCGTCGGTTCTCGTATTGTCGCGCCGGGCGTCGGGTGGGATGCCGGGCAAAACTAGTCTTGGTCCACGGTGTCGGACTCGAGGGCGGGAGGCTTTGAGTTCCACCCCGGAGACCCTGTCACCACTGTGTTTGTCGAGCGGTGCAGCTTTGGACATTGAGAGAGTAATGGCGCGTTCACAGTAAGCGCATGTGGGCGTGTATCCGTCGGTGCATCGGGAGTTGGATCGTCTGCGCTGGTCACGGACTGGACCCTTTTTGGCTATTAACGGCTATATTTCGGATTTGCTGACTTTACATGGACGGACAGTCGCTGGCAAGCGTTCCAATGAGATGGTAGGCCCCGCTCCCTCCTGAAGATGCCTTTTCCCCAGATCGGGGTCCTTGCGTGTCTTGATGCCCCGCGCGACCTGTGTTAGCTTACTGATACTGGGTTGCCACGCGCGCCCAGGGGGATGAGGGGCCATCTTCTGGTTCTGGAGTTCTGCCAGCCCCTTCTTTCGGTACAGAAGAGGTAGCAGCAATATTCGCCTGCTGGGTGGCTCACAGTTCCGACCGCCAAGATGGTGGGGTGAAGACACGCTGCTCCGGCCGCAGGTGCAAGCACCACAAGAAGGTGGATCAACTGGAACAAGAGGTCAAAGCGCTTCAGGTCACCCAGACTCGATATGAGAATGAGAGTACAAGCTTGCGCGCCCGCGTTGATCATTTCGACCAGTCCACTAGCCTGGTTGTAGATAGAGCATACCCCCGGAGTTGAACAAGCAAGCGGGCCAAAGACACCCGTGTTTTCGAAACGTTGGATTTAGCCCAGAAACTTGGCTTGCCGTTCCGGCTTCCCACCGACCAGACTGCCGACCAATGGACACAGGAGACAAAAATCATTCGCCGTACTATCGCCCCATTATGGTTTGACTTGGTCCAAGCACTGCTTCTTGGTACCCGGCTCTTTTTACCCAATAAATAGGAACGCTCGAGACCCCAAAGATGCGAGCTTCCGGACACTTCCTGTTCAAGCTCGAGATTGGGGACCTGTCATTTCAGATCCTCCGCGACCTCCACGTGGGATTCGGTCACTACCTGTGTGAGACGAGCAAAGCCGTTCGTGACAACGGACAAGGGGATCTGCTGGCTTTCTATTTCCACCGCACCCCCGCAGAACAACAGGGCGCCCAAGGCGCCTCGGCCACGGCTAGCCAAAACAAGACACCACGTGCTTCATCCCCGTGCGCTGCACATGGGCTAAGCTGCTAGAGCCATGGAGACAGGGCTTCCACCCTTGCCAGTTATCCGTCCCGTTGACTTAGTCATGGTTATGACCCCGAAATGTCGAGTTCTACACCTAGTACTTCGATAGACTTTTCGGGGCCGCCTCATTTTTGCATTTCACACTCCTTACATTGCGCTTTAAGGATAGCGCCCATGTTTGATCATGAGGGTGACATGGGAGGTGGGCCGCTCGATTGCATTCCACTGGCGGCTAATCCAAACACCTGTCTCCTCATCTCGTCGTCGACTCGATGTAGGTGGTCGTGGGTGAAGAAAAATCCCTGGCCTCATCGTCAGGAACAGCTTGGCCTCCAAAGCTAGGAGGCACCCGCCCTTTGCCTGACTTGCCAGACTTTTCAAAAGCCGTTCAGAGCTTTCCACACCAATGTCATCGAGCGACTGTAACATCTCTTCAGGGTCACCTTCGCAACGGTCTCCATCATCTTTCTTTAGACTTCGACGAAGCAGTGGGATCGCACTTGTGTCAGGCCCCATCCCGAGCCACCTTCAAATCCAGAGCCCCTGCCTCAGGCGACGCTCCAAGCTCATGCTCGGAGGTGCAGGATACCCATCCATGGTTGAGCCGACTCAAGCCGTGGAGCAGCGCATGCTCGACCTCTTCACGGGATAGCTCTCGGCTTTCGCCGTAGCTCATCAAGGCCTCCATAGCTGTTGCCACGGCGTCGCAGAGCATGCCTTGGGTTCCCCGGCGCCGAGCTCCCTCAAGGTATTTTTTGTCTTGGGGGGAATTGCGCCCTCACTGAGCCGAAACTCCGTGTACACTAGACTTCACGCATAACTATGCATATTGCAGTAAGCAGATACATCTAGTATTAAAAGATATTAAGAGAGAGGAGCGGGCTATAAAAGAAGGGTAGCAGTTGCCATTCCATGGATTCACCACGCCTTGCTCCACCCTCCAGTATTTGAGACCCGGCTTCGCAGTCGTAGCCGGCGCGGGCATTGCAAAGGCCATTGCCTGATTGAACTAAAAGCAAGGAACCACTAGTAACAAGTGCATCGCTACTAGTAACAAAGGGCATCGCTACTAGGAGCAAGGACGCTACTAGTAGCTAATTCAAAAACGATGCGTGCAATACATGTTAAGTTTCCCTGAAAATCCAAGAGCCAAATCATTAGTGCGCTTGAGCTATCCTGCGTCTAGTAGCTTACTGGTTTCTCCCTTTACTTGATTAAGTAGGCAATTACTTAATTAAGTATTGGGAGGACCAACAGGCCAAAAGCAAAGGTGCTTTCAAATTGTATCACCCATGGAAGCTCTTCACGTCGGCGCTGGCAGTGATAGGCCATCGAGCGCCTCGGATGGGTGGAACCAAAGTTCAAGTTCTCACAGAAGCGAAAACAACACGACAATTCCCACTAGCGATGGCCTCCAACCTAAGAGTGATGGCCTCCAACATGCTTGGAAAATAGACGGGGGGTTAGTCTTGGGTACGTTGTCAGGTGAGGTTAAGTATAGCTAGGTAAGGGGTGAGCACGGTGAGTAGCAGTGTAAGTTTCAACCTTCTTGATTTGGTTCCTAGATTAGCAACACTTAGGGTGATTCCTTCCTTGCTTCCCCTTCTTCGAACCGCAAAAGCATGTGTTTCATACCAAGAGACAAAATCTCCACGTCAAAGCCTTCAGCGTCGATGAGCAAAAGCTCACAGCCACGGAAGCCAACCTGATCGACCAAATTGGTCCAAGTCCACAACGGCACTCGATCCTGCGACAAGGCTGGACAGCTTCAAAGACGAAGTGTGGACTGCGAAAAGCACCGATTCTTTTTTTCCTAATAGCTTTTTGTTACTACTAGTAAGGCACTTGTTACTACTAGCGTGGCACTTGTT